GCTGTCGAGATAAAACAGGGGCGCTGCACCCATGCTGTTTTTTTTTTTGCACATGCACGGCGTGGGGGCTTCACACTCTTCGCTTTGGTGGCCATAAAAAGGGTATTAAAGCCACATGTCCTCGCACAGCAGGTAGGACACAGGAGGCACTATCTATTGTGTCATATCTTGTGGCTAATTACCGTGACCTCCTCCCCCCCCCCCCCTAGGGGGTTTTGATTCCTTGCTGCGACGGGCAGTGCGTCTGTTCCACCCCCCCTCTTCACCGGCCACCCCCGCCGCCACGCACATGTGCGATGGCAGCCCCGTGTCATTTAACCAATCCAATTTAGCCCGTGTCAAAAAAAAAGTTCCATGGGGACAACCACCCCAGCCCCGTCCAATGGGGATGCCCGCGTGCTTCGATGGCTCTCGAGGAATACGGCCACTGAGGTGCAGAGGGATGAGGCCCCCTCTTGCTCCTGACAACCAATGGGGAATGAGCTGTGGCCATGCTAATCCTGTCAAGCTCAGCCCCCATCCCATGTCCCCTGCTGGGACGGGCAGTTTTTCATCTCTCCCCCCTCCGTGCCCCGGTGGCAGGTGAAAGGGACTCAGGTGGCATTCAAGGCGAGAGATGAAGTGGTGCGCTCTGCTACGGCCGCCACATGCATTTCTGCACCTGGGACCGCTGGCAATAAAAGGCGGTGCACGCACTCAGCTCCACACCAGGCGGTGTGCGCCGATAGCCGCGCGCAGTCACTCGTTCGCGCGGTTTGTAATCGCACACCACAGTTGATCCTACGTTCGAATATCGCCGTCCTCAGTTCTTCGTCAAGTCCGCTTTGACCATGACTGTGAACCTACAGAGAGGTATGTTTTATATTTCGTTTTGTCTTGTAAAAACCGTTGTGCTTGTGCGTGCGCGTGTGCCTCGCGTGCCGTGCCGGCCTTCATAGCTTCTCGCTGACAGCACTTGCCCCAACAGTCTAATAAGGCTGTAAGAGGGATCTTTGTCTTTTGTGTGCGCCTTAAATGCACATTGGCGCTTTGCAGAGAATCACGCTTGCTTTTATTCTTGTATACGTGGGATAATAGTCGCAGGAGGCCTGGGAAATGTCGATGCTCAGTTAAAGTGGTATCATTGTCGGGTTTTAAACTCTGTAAAAGTGAGAGCATTTCTGGGAAAGCTGACTGTGGTATTGGAGTGCGCTTGTGACGTGTCGTGTTGTTGGGGTGAGCTTTGTGACGTCGTGGTGTTGAGGTGCGCGTTTGACATCGTGGTGTTGGGGTGACCTTGTGACGTTGTCGTGGTGTTGGGGTGCGCTTGTGATGTCATGGTGTTGGGGTGAACTTGTGTGACGTAGTGGTGTTGGGGTGCGCTTGTGTGACGTAGTGGTGTTGGGGTGAGCTTGTGATGTTGTCATGGTGTTGGGGTGAGCTTGTGTGACATAGTGGTGTTGGGGTGAGTTTGTGACGTTGTGGTGTTGGGGTGAGCTCGTGACGTCGTGGTGTTGGGGTGAGCTTGTGTTGTGTCATGGTGTTGGGGTGAGCTTGTGTGACCTTGTCATGGTGTTGGGGTGCGCTTGTGTGACGTAGTGGTGTTGGGGTGAGCTTGTGATGTGGTGTTGGGGTGAGCTTCTGAAGTTGTCGTGGTGTTCAGGTGAGCTTGTGTGACGTCGTGGTGTTGGGGTGAGCTTGTGATGTTGTTGTGGTGTTGGGGTGAGCTTGGGTAACGTTTTCGTGGTATTGGGGTGAGCTTGTGACATCGTGGTGTTGGGGTGAGCTTGTGATGTTGTCGTGGTGTTGGGGTGAGATTGTGTGACGTGGTGTTGGGGTGAGATTGTGATGTTATCGCGGTGTTGGGGTGAGATTGTGTGACGTAGTCGTGGTGTTGGGGTGAGATTGTGTGACGTTGTCGTGGTGTTGGGGTGAGATTGTGTGACGTCGTGGTGTTGGGGTGAACTTGTGTGACGCGGCGGGATGCTTAAGCGGAGGCGTGGAAGTCCTGGCGTCTTGCGAGATCATGAATCACAGCTGGCTGCTAGGCTTGGCCCAGCATTCGCCTCTTCGTAAGCCTCAACCTCAGCATGACTATTGTCACAGGAAACATGAAAAAAACTCGCAGTTGGTTTGTGTTTGGCGGGTGGGGGCATCACGGACATTTCAAACCCAAGTGCGTTCTGCTCTGAAGCGTGTAAAACCGTGAGCACATGTGGCTGCGGTTTGCCTGATTACAAGACTTTGTCACTCTTACAAAAATCGCTCGCAGTGGATTATTATCGTAATATCATTAGCGAGTGTTCTCACGCTGACGCGCGTGTCACAGCCGATACGTACGTAACATATATATACAACTTAAATCCGTGTTGAAACATGGGTTCTGCTGCTGCTGCTGCTTATACTTATAAAGAAAAAAAACCCCTAATGAATACAACAACTCTGGGATGATGTATCCCTGTTCAATGTTTGATGACGGACATGAAATTTTAATTTCCCATATGCATCGCCTTTTATACGTTGTGTCGGATGGCAAGAGTGCGGGTTTTTTTTGTGCTGCTGTCATTTGCATTTTATTTTAAATACCTTCAATAATTAAACGGCAATAGAAATGGGGTTGCAGGAGCATTGTTTATTCTGTAAAATTTGATTACAGAGTGAGCTCGCGTGTATTAATTAAGGTGTGGGCTGATCCTCCCAGGCTGTGCGTCATGTGCTTATGACTGCGTCTTGTAGCAGGGATGTTGCAGCCTTGCTCCATGACCCTCTGTCGCCAAGCCGGGCTGCCCCGGGGTTCCTGGAAGTCTGGGGCTGGAGGCCCTGGGCAGAATGTTACGTTTAGAAATCTACATGGACGTAGATTATTTAGATTATTTTGCTGCTATAAATGTCCACATGATGATACGTCACTTCGTTGTGCTATCATTTGTGGCCAGGTCGCTTCTAAAACATCAGCTAATAGCTCAGTGGGTTTTAGCTGGTAAAATAAAATAAAAATTGTTTAAGTCATTTGTTTACCTTTCCTATACTTTGCACTCCTATCGTGTTTTTTTGTATCATTTGTTGTTGTCACGCCCCCTACTGGACACATGTGAAAAAAGAGCTTCATAGCTCATTGGATTTCTCCAGTACAAATAAATATTCTGATAATGAGAACACCACGTGTGTGGCCCCCGGTATTCATTACCGACGGGGGGAAAAAAAAAAGAACAACAGGCCCGTTTTGGAGCTCTCCTTTGCGTGAGGCCCTGGGCAAAATGCCCCTTTTGCCCTCCCCATTTGGACGGCCCTGTCAAGTGCTGTCACATCACCACCGCCTGTGTCAAGACTCGCACGTGCCACTGTGGCCCACACAGGGGATAGGGGCCTAAGTGTGCCCAATCTCTTTGGATGTCGGAAACCGAGTGGGGTTGAGCCTGTTATTTTTCATTAAAATATTTCACGTGGATAATCCCTTGAGATGGAACATCTCATTTCCAAGGTTGTCCAGGGTGTCATTTGCCACATATATAGCATACATGATTTGACACGTATACTGTACAAACGTTGAAAATCTATGGTCAGTACTTGCAAGGATGACCACTCGGGTTTTGCCAGGTATTGTGGGCTGAAGGTGACCAGAAGACGGCAACACATTTGCCATTAACATAGATAATAAAACCACCGTCAGATAACTTTTGTGCACTTCTGTATTGCGACTGTGTTTGAGGTGAGTTCTGGGAAACAGCTGGTGTGTGCGTGTGTTGGCCATTTTGAGCATTGCATCGATTCAAGAGGCACGTAACCAGCATTTCCTGCATCGGAAGTGGATCCAGGCACTTTCTTTATCACGGCAGAGAAATAAAAAAAACGCTCGTAGCTCAGGAAACACATTGCTCACCTACCTGGCTGAAAAAAAAATATTTAAAAATTATCAGGGTGTTGAAAATATTATTTTGCATAAAGTTAAATGGTGGAGTGGTCTCCATGATCACATGAGCCATTGTGGCTCAGTTCATCTCTGTATACAGAAGGTCGTGGGTTCATTATATTTGGGGTTTGCATGTTCTTCCCATGGTTGCGTGGATTTTTCTCCAGGTCTTCCGGTTTCTCCCTCCACATTTCAGAATCAATGTGCGTTTGGAGTATTTGTCTGCTATACATTTCCACGTGATTAAGTCACTTCATTGAATTGTCATTTATGGCCATTGTCGCTTCTGAGAAAGAGCTGTATAGCTCAGTGGGCCCTGCCTGGTAAAATAAAAGTATTTTTTTTTATCATTTAGTTCAGTGTCGTAAACAAGTCTATCCATCGGGCGACAATTGTTGACTTCCCAAAAATGTGGGTTGAGCGTGCAAATCCTGCGGTCCGTGATAGTGACACGTGGGGACCGAATGCAATCAGGGATACGATTTTTTTTATCGAACCGTCTCATTGGTTATGCTGTGAATTGTTTTTAAATGAAATCCGCACAAGCGGTGTTCATTTTGAGTGATATTTTTCAGAAACGGTGAAAAATATGCGTACGGTCGGAAAATAAAGCGAAGTTCTTTGGGATAAGAAAAACCACCAAACAAAACGTGGAAGACGTAGCAATACTGTGCGTTACTGTAACCATGCATGGTCAGCCAGTACGGCAGGGAATTAGTCTTTGCCACATGCAGGAACACTTCCTCATAGGTATACAGATCCCCCGTAATGTAAAAGTTTATTCACAGACCTAAGTCATTAGTGGGAGGGAGGGAGAAAAAAAAACTGGCCTTGGCAAAACACGTGGCGTCAGTCTCGCCCAGTCATCCTCGCTACTGATGTGATGATGTTCGTGTCGGATGTGCTAGACCACACACTGGGAATAGAGGGGCGGGAGAAAATAATAATAATAAAACAATGGATCTTTAGAACCGAGCGTGAAGCAATGCCCACCACAGTTGTCCACTTGGTTATTTCCTTTGAGTCAGACCCTTGAAGGTAAGATTGTAAAACTTAAAAGGCGGCGTCGGAAAACGCGCTGACGCGCCGCTCTGCTCGGTTACCGTTGCAGTGGTGAGCTACGCGAGCGCGGCAATGCGAGACTGCGACCCGGACGATGACGAGGAGGAGAGGCTGCAAATCATCGAGGAGGTGGACGAAGAGGAGGAGGAGGAGAAAGACGAGGAGGAAGACGAAGAGGAGGCGGCGGCGGAGGAGGAGGAAGAGACGAACTTAGAGGGGACCGGCGGCAATCCCGGCGTGGACAAGACTGCCGAGCCGCTGGGCAGGCAGGACGGGACGGTGGCGGAGTGCGATGTCCCGGGCAGTGGGGCCACTCACCGTGGTAAGAGCGCACGTACTCACACTTTACATCGTAGTTGTACGTTGTATTTAAAATGAAAAAAAACACGATTATAGCATTTGATTCGATTTGCGGTAGCCCGGGTCACCGCAAAATATTGTTTGGCTGGGCATAGTTTAAGGTTTTTTTTTCTGGGAGCATCGCTGGTACTACCACCCTGTCCTGCCGGAGGGCGACGCTGGGAGCGATGATCACGACGATGTAGATCCCGCCAGCACGACCGTGACCGCCGGCCGTACCAAGAGAGCGCCTGGTGTGCCATTGCCTCCAAGTGGTCTCGCTCCCAAAGACAAGGGAGGTGGCCGACCCCGTAAGAAGCAGAACGTGCTGGGGAATAACCAGACCAGCATCCCGATGTACTTTCAAAACAAGCAATAAACAGCCATTGCCACGCACAAATCCCCAGCAGCCCCCTTTTTTATGGGTGTTTTGCGTGTGTTTTTTATTTCCATATTTGGCGTGCGTATCGAGCTCAGTGACATCTCCCGTCTTCATAGGCCTTCTGGTTTCGAAGTTATGGAGGTTTTGGCACCCCCAGGTCACGATGGTGACCCGGGTCACCGCCAATCGATTAACTTGTCGACTTAACAACAAAAACAAAATCCACAAAGTATATTTTCTACTCCAGCGAGCATTGAGGCAGTTGTGATCATTTTTTGTGTACCAATTCATTGCCACTGGTGGGAATTTCATATTCCTATTGCGGGTTAGAATAAAGCGGTATTCGTTGAAACGACCCCGGGCGGCATGATGGGCTGAATCAACTTCCCCCCCAAAACGACGATTTGAACTCGCAGCCTTCCGATTGCGAGCCACTTTCTCTACTCCTTGGGCCACCTGGCCACACGTTATTTTGGATTGCGGCCAATTTCACTGGTGCACAACGTCGCGCCAAGTGAGAATTACGTTCAGCGGTTCGGGGTGGGCCAACCAGAGCCGGGCGTGCCACACTTGCGGCAGCGGTATCGCAAGACACCCGGCAGTGCCGTATTTTCCAACACAGGCGGTGGCAAATCCGTTAAGCTATGCATTCGCAGAGGTTTCACCCTTGATTAAAAAAGAAAAAAGATTTAAAAAAAGTAAACGCTGAGCCTAAATGACACTTGTCAACCAAGTTATATGGCTTAAGTGTAGCCAGCTAATTTGTTTCTGCTTGACCCATGTGAGAGCTTGTCTGTGCATCACCACAAACTAGGGGTGGGGGCGGGGGGGGAGGGGGCTCTTGGGTGAATGCGAGAGAGAAAAAAAACTTTCCGAAAAGTGGCTTAACATTCCGAAGACTTCCACTGTTTACTCCCAAGGAATTAATGAGAGCTAGCGGCAAAGTGAGAGGCGGAATGAGAGGGCGGCGGGCAGCCCAATGTAATACGGCCAGGTATTATGTGCGACTGCGGGACAAACGCTTGACACCCTCTCCTTCATTTAAAACTGTCGGAGCTCGGCCTTTCCTCTCAGCAGGTGTGAGACAGCGGGGGCTTTTGCCGCACGAGAAACAAGCGCAATCACTTTGGCTCATGGAGTTCCACCCCCCCCCCCCCTCTCCACCCTCCTTTCTTCTCTTTCTCTGTCCGCGTTTCAGAGGAAATGAATGATCACAGCGATGCCCCGGGCGCCGAAGCCTCTCTTGGCTCTCAAGGACGAGACGACACAGGTATACCGATCAAATTAAGTGTCCACTCATAGGTGCGTTAGCCGTCTGCCCCCTGCTCTGTAATTAACCCGTTGTTAAAGGGGCACCTTCTTGTAAACGTCTTTCCCCGGCAGATTCACTCAAACGTCATTGTCATGCACACGCCCTGCGTTTCCCACGCCCACAGTTTGTTTAAAAAACAATGATGGCCCAACGTGTTGCTAATGGTTAAAGTCGGAAAAAAAAACTATCAAAAGGGAAAGAATGTAACCTTTGGAGAGACGATGCAATCGGCAATACTTTTTAAGCTTTATTTGACACTGTCTAATTCAGATCATGAGTTATTTAAATTTGGTAATAAAATGTCACACGTGTTTCACCTTTGCACCGAACACTTGCAACAATAAAACTTTGTTGTTTTCATAGCAGCGATTCATTCCATAGAACCATATCTTTCTCAGTTCTAGAGCCTTGCCCAGTATCCATTGCGGTACGGCCAACAGAATGGATGTGCTTTCACGAATAGCGTGTGTTCGATCGATCGGTCAGTCACACGCTGTTAACACTCAGGCAATAACTCACCCCGAGGAACGCTACTCTATCAGAGTTGATATTTAGTTAAAACTAAACTATTTTTATTTTACCAGATAAGGCCCATTGAGCTACGAAGCCCTTTTTCAGAAGCGACCTGGCCACAAAGTGGCTTATCACGTGGAAATGTATAGCAGCCAAATACTCTGAAAGCACGTTGATTCTAAATTTGGAGGGAAAAACCGGATGACCCGGAGAAAGATCCACGAGACCACTCAAAATTATACTCCAAATATACAGCAGGCGTCTGGGTTGGGATAGAACCCACGACCTTCTGTATACCAGTTCACATCTCGCCACCGTGCTGGTGGCATTAAATTAAGGGGGGGGGGGGGGGTGTATAATTGTTCGTGCACGCATCCGTTCCTGGGGTGGCCACTGTTTTTTAAGAATCGGACATCAACTCACACGCAGAGGCTGGCGCGTATTGTTCTACACACCATTGTAATTGATCACTCGCATCGGCGCAGCTTTGCCATGACTCGATGTGTTGTAAAGTAAAAGAGGTGGCGTACAGAGGGGCTGCCCCCCCCCCCTACCCGCCATCAGAACATGGAGTGTCCATCGCTAGCCCAAGGTGGCCAGTGAGGGTGAAGAGCGCTGTCAAGCGATATTTGAGCGTGCAGCAGATGCCTTCACTTGACTATAAAGTCAACTTTGAATGTGAGGTCGCCGCAACTTTTTGATCGCTCTGTTCCCCAAAAGCTTTGTACGCGGTGAAAAAGTCAAAGTGTCTTCAAACTCGTACAATATTCTTGGTAGTCACGATTTCCGTTCTCATCTATATTGGTCTCCTTGGTCATGCGGTGGAAATTCGACATTCTCATGGCAGAGGCCGTGCCAAATGGTGCAGTGCAATGTATGTGTGTATGTTGAACCTCTTTCGCGTCATACGTAGCGGTGTTAATATTTCGCGGTATTTTAACAGTAAGTCTGCAGGTGCACTGGGCGTCAGTGTGTGCGAGCTCACGTGGGAGGCGGTGTTGACGAGGCAAATTAAAAGGGAGGGCGGCTAAATGTTGTCGATGGATGCACGGGAGCGCGCATTACGGTGGGCGAAAGTGAGCCGTGCATAAACTATTTGGTGGTGGCGTTAAGAGCCCTGGGAGTCGCCGTATAACAAAGGTTGCGCGTTCAATATTTGTTAAATGCATCGTGGACAGCGAGCAGCGTTAATTAGTTATTAGCGTTGCATTATCATTAACGTGTTTTATGAGCCAGCAGTCATGGTTACTGCAGAGAGCCATGCTCTTGAGCAATAGTTAAAAACGTGTTATTGCTCAAACGTGTGTTTGTGCGATAAGTTGGCGGAGGCGGTAGATCAAGATTCTGTGCGGCCCGTCCAAAGGGGCTTATGCCTCGCCCCTTAAGACGACAAACCCACGCAGCAGCATAGCTGCCGACTCGCCGCATTAATAAAGTCCACGATCTTGATAGTATATGGTTAAAGAAATATTGACGGTATTTCACGGGGCGATTTTGTTCTTTGTTTCAAAAGTCATATGGGGCTTGATTTAAAAAAATATAAACGATTTGCTCGTGTTTATCTTTGAAGGCCAGCTGGCGAACATGCCCCGTGAAGAAAGCGTAGAAAAATAAACGTTTTTAGGAAAATCTTGACGCGTCCCAATTTCTGCCATCGTCCATGCACGGTGAGATTGGCCGTGAGTGGTTTTGTTCACAGTCGTGCGTGTTCGCCTGTGGAAAATAACTGCAATAAACATGGCCCAATTGCACTCGGAGCATTAGTAATGTTGCGTTTGGGAATTCAATGTGACGCCAAGCATCGGGGAGGCCGTCTTCCGAAATAACTGTGAGATGAGAGGAGCATTTATTGCTACGGTGACGAGGTAAACTTAAAAACTTAAATTGTTTTTTTTTCACCAAGTAAAGCCCACTGAGCTATTGGCTCAGAGATAAACTTGTGGCTTGTTGCTTGCCGAGAGATGTTTGTCTCGTAATGTGCATCAATCTGTCGAGGACATGGGTTGTTGATATCATAGGTCAGCTTTCACGACCAATATTGTGATTGACATTCAAGTTACTTTTGGGCCGGATCATCGCGTAAGCGTAGTATCACTCTTAATCTTGACCCTCTGCCGCTCGACAGAGACGTGAACTACATTTTACAAAACGTAAAAAATGTTCTTGTTATATTTAAATAGGAGCCCGGTCCAGAGCACAAACCGCGCCGTACCCATGGGGTACAGAAATTCCGTGGACATCAGTCGCAAACGCAGTGCCACAGTGCACCTGAGTTAAAAAACAAAGTAAGCAAATGTTTTATTTCGGCGAAGCAAATGAACCCCGCTTGTCTTCGAATTCGGAAAGCCTTCTCAACGCGGTAACGTTCGACCACTGCCGCGCTGCGCGCGTGCCCCGCGTGCTGCTCGGGACGTGCGACGACTCTCGGTGGCGGCCGCCCCTTGACGCTTGCAATCCACCCCCTCGGCCGGCAGACGCGCAGGAGGGGCTCGTGACCGCTGGCGGCGGCGAGGGGCCCGGCGCGGACGGCCTCGCCGAGTTCCTGCGGCGCCGCGACACCGCCGTCATTTTCCCCGAGGACCCCGATGAGGGCCCGGGGAACCGGGCCTCACCCGAGAGCCTCCTCCGCAGGCCCAACGGTGAGCGGCCACCCACGCCCTTCGACACCGCCGCCTGCTGCTGCTGTTGCAGCTGCAGCTGCTGCTGCTGTTTGCCATTGCTGGTGCTGTGTTGCTGCTGCTGCTGCTCGCTTGCTGTTGCTACTACTCCTGGCAGTGCAACAGCCGGTGTCGCTGTGCCAAAGCGCTTGTAAGGTGACGAGCTCAAATTGTGGTTCTGGGTTGAATCGGTCATCATCATAGTCGCTCCAGGGTTGATAAAACTAGCACCACTTTGTGGATTGTTAGGAGTCGTTTTTTATATATATAAACTGGCCCCGTCATAGGAACACGGCATTTCTACAAAGGGGCAGATGTTCCCCAGTGGCGATGAGCGCTGCCGTATGCTCAATTGGGGCATTGAGTTATTTTGATTTGAATTGAATGTCTTGTAACGATCAGCTGTGATGTGCGTGCGCAGTAAGAAGTGCCGCTCCGCTCGGTGACGGCAGCGTGTGTCTGAAATTGCGTCACAATAAAGACTTATTGTCGGCCCTAGCTTTCATAACGTGGCTTTTATTGGAACACGTTAAAATTTAAAACTTAAAGCCCCTTCTAAAAAACAGATCACAGTAGAATGATTTCAGAAATGCTAACTTCATTCTGTTGAACATTACATGAACACCGAATGCCCGCTGATACATTCCTTGGTACGTCTTCAGGGGTCGGAGCTGGAATGCATAATGCAAAAATGCAGCATAGTTTATGCCGAGGGCAGTACAAGCGCAAGCAATTTCGCGGAGTGTTAATGGGCAATAACAACGTCAACTATATACACAATGATTCACCTCCCCGGTGAATCATTACAATTCAGGGGTCGGAATTTGATTCGTGAACAATCATTATCTTTTCATTATTAACAATGTGCTGAACGTAGCGGCCACTAGTGGCTGTGAGGATCACGCAACCCTTAGAACATGGCGATCTTCCCGACTCGATAGCAGTCCGCTAAATCGATCGGATTGCGTCGTCGGCGTCTCTTCGCGCACACCGGCGGCTGCGTGGGGCGTGACGGGAGGGGCCCCTCTTGACGCGATCCCTTGTCCTCTGCCTCCCCGCTAGGCGCGAGGACGCCCGGCGCGTTTGCCGCGCTGCTGGCATGCCCGCACTGCGACCGCGGCTACAAGCGGCTGAGCTCGCTCCGGGAGCACATCCGCTACCGGCACGAGAGGGGCACAGGCGACGGCGGCGGCGTCGTGGATCTCCACAAAGCACCGCGTGCCCCCCAGGCGGGCGAGGTAACTGACCCCGTTTGCTGGCATCGTCGCACGCGGGCAATTTACAGCAGGATGGCTCGGTCGTCTGAATGCGTCTGTCTGAATGTTTGCGGGGGAAAAGAAGTTTGAACCGCGCTGCGCCGTTTGCTTGCGGAGTCGCGCTTACTTGCCCCTACCGAACATCTGTGCTAAAGAGCTTTACGGTTCATCCGATTCCTCCAGTAAATAAAAAATATTCTGATTCTCACTTCGCACCTCTGTTCCATCTTTGCGCAGCAGGGTCAGCCTCCCGCTGCCGGGAGCCGCAAGTTTAAGTGCACAGAGTGTGGGAAAGCCTTCAAGTACAAGCACCACCTCAAGGAACACTTCCGCATCCACAGCGGTGAGTGTGGAACATCGTAACGTTTGGCAGAACTCACCCACTGACATGATTCCCTTCCTGCACATGTCTACAGCGCAGGCTGCATTCGCTGCATTACGTGGCACTTTGGATGATGCGTATATATTTTTTTGGTTTAACACGGCGCCTTTCGCGACCAATATTATCCACAACTCTGGCTGTCCACCTGATGATGCTGGTTGTAATTACCGACGAGACGTCCTACTTGAATTGTAAATGTTGTGGGTTTACTCTCCAGCACACCGGTGCGCTGAGCTAGTAATGAATTGCCATGTTTTGTTCGCCTCGCACACTTTATTAATTGGCTGTGTCGGGTTTAACGACGCATTTATATGTACGCGATGTATCCCAGAAGCCTCTGTTATCGATATATTTGTTTGTAATTGCAGGGGAGAAGCCATACGAGTGCCCAAATTGCAAGAAGCGCTTCTCTCACTCGGGCTCGTACAGCTCGCACATCAGCAGCAAGAAGTGCGTCGGCTCCGTCCCGGTGAACGGCAGGGCGCGGGCTCCCTCGCCGCCGTGCTCCCCCGTCGTCGGCCTCGCCGCCGCCGAGCACAGCCCCCCCCCGGCAGAGTGCCCCACGGCCCGCTTGCGGGTCAAGGAAGAGCCCGCGGAATTCGCGGGCGCCGACTACGAGGGCACCGTCGGCGTGGCCTCGCACGGCCTCTCCGGCCTCGCTCCCTTCCTGAACGGCTACGCGTCGACGGGCGTCGCCGCGGCCGCTCACGCTCTCGCCGCGGCACGGCGGCGGGACCGCGAGTTCGGCCTCGGCGGTCGGCGCGGCGGGGCGGGGCCGGCGAGCGACGGCCGGGAGACGAGCGAAGGCGATCCGGCGTCGGCGCACGGCCCGGGGAAGAGGAACGGCGGCGCGGACGGCTTCCATTGCCAGGCGAAGGCATCTCCAGTTGCCGGTGCCCTGACGGCTGACGCCGTCAAGGTGGAAGGGAACACCGCCACGTCTCCCAAATCCACCCAGAGCTCAAGTCACGATGACAACGAGGACGACTGTGGCGCGCGTTCCGAGAAAAAGTTCGACGCCGACGAGGAGGACTTCCTGCGGAGCATTGGGCTGGAGGCCACGCGTCGTCCGGCCATCAAGATAAAGACCGAAGAGCCGGATCTGGACGAGCGTTCTTCCCACGTGGAAGGGGCGGCTCACCACGCCTGCCAGTATTGCAATGAACCATTTCCAAGTCCAATACCTCTGCACCAACACGAGCGCTATCTCTGTAAGATGAACGACGAGATCAAGGCGGTGCTTCGACCGTCCGCGCCGCAGCCTTCGTCTCCAGCTCAACCAAAGAAGTTGAAATTGTCGGCTGGAAGGGGGTTAAAAGGGTGCCGCGCAACGGCACTCGGAGACCAATTGGCTTTCCTAAAGTCGTATTGCTTTGCCAGAAATGTTGAGCCAAGTCCCGAGGAGCTGATTAAGATATCGTTGGCCATGAGCCTCCCCAGAGACGTTCTCTCCAAGTGGCTGGATAAGAAATCCAACGCAGCAGGCAGAGCACAAGAGCACTGTGCGTCCAGCTCTCCCTCTTACAAGCTAGCCCTATCACCGGTGGGCCGCGGCTGTTCTCCGGCTGGGCACGTCGGCTACAGCAGGGAGGGAAGTCCACCGCAGCACCCACTGGGCTCGCCGATGAGTGCCCGGTCCGACTCGCCTAGAGGCAGAGGTGCCCTGCACGGCCCCGCGGCAGGTCACGCGAAGAACGGGCAGCCCAACGGCTTGTTCGCGAACGGTCTTCACCACGGTCAAGACCAGGCCCAGCCGCTCGACTTATCGGTGCCAAAATTGAGCAAAGTGAGGCTGAGAGAGACAGGCTTTGTTAATTTCCATAATTCGAGCAGTGTTAATTGCAAAGAGGAGCCGTTAAACTTAACTTACATGAAGAGATCCTCGGCTCTGAAAAGCGTCAAAAGAAAATCGAACGCCAAGCTAGACTCGAGTGCTTCTTACATGACCAATGGCTCATCGAACAACAGTGTTGACCATTTACATGAGAATAAATCAATAATGAATATGGTCACTTCCAGCTACGGCAACGGTCCCGTGTTCACGGGCTTTCCGCCGCTCAGCACCTTTTCGTCGCCGCCCGGTCTGATTCCGGCCCTCCACATGGGCTACCCCGGCCTGAGGCCCTACATGGGCCTGGACCAAGCAGCATTGCTGTCCCACATGTCACCGTACAGAGGCCTTTCGGACACAGCTGCTCTCGCCGACTTCCACGACAAGAGGGGCCTTCAGATGCGCCACTTTGCACACGTAAGAGCAACGGCTTCGAGTTGGACTAAAACGGAAGCATGTGCACACACACACACACTGGTGGTGCGATTGATTTACAATTCACGTGTTGAACCTTATTCATTGTGAGGAGAGATAGATGTATGAATGTTTCGTTGCTTATATCCTTCGTATTATATAATTTTGCGTCGAACTAGGACCCACATATTAAAGAGAGGGTCCTTGCCGATAAAATATTGATGCAAGCGAGTCTGCCTCTGCTGATGAGACACTGTCTAATATCGATCCCAGAATTTGCTTGTTCTGAATCAACGCTGCTGACATTGTGCACATCCATAAGGATGTAGCTGAGTGGGTGTAGCTGGGTGAGTGAGTAGCTGAGTGAGTGGATAGCTGAGTGGGTAGTTTACTAGGTGGGTAGCTAAATGAGTGGGTAGGTGAGTGGGTGGCTAAGTGGGTAGCTGAAAGGATGGCTGAGTGGGTAGCTAAGTGGTTGGATGAGTGCGTGGGTAGCTGAGCGGGTGGGTCGCTGAGCGGGTGGCTGAGTGGGTTGCTGAGTGGGTGGCTGAGTGGGTGGCTGAGTGGGTGGCCGAGTGGGTGGCTGAGCGGGTGGCCGAGTAGATAGCTGAGAGACAAATACGCAAAGGAGACGAATTCCGTCGGTTAACCTCGGCTCACCGGCGATCGCGCTCCACAGGGAGAGTCTCCTGAGCGGGGAGAGGGAAGCCCCGTGGGCTCGGACGAGGTGACGGACTCGGACTCGGGAGTGCCCACGCGCAAGCGGCAGAGGAGGGGGGAGTGCGTGCCCGGGGGCTCGTTCGCCTGCGACCTGTGCGACAAAACCTTCCACAAGAGCAGCTCGTTGCTGCGCCACAAGTACGAGCACACAGGTACGCGTTGCGTCCCCCGCGCTTGTGCTCACGAGCGGCGGGGTTTCATCCGTCGTGCGCTCTCACACGTCTTCTCCGGAGGTGGAGGCAGATGAATAATTATAATCGGATGACGCACGACCGTCGTCACTTGTTTTCCTTACTTACTTTTTTAACGAAATGGAAGAATGAATGGCATGTCGGACACGCCGTATAATAAACCGGCGTCGCCCAGAAACGCGATTCTGTGCGCGGGCGTGCGTGCGTGCGTGTGCCCGCTCGCGTGGGTATTTTTGGTTTCTGGGTGTCGCTGCCTCGTAATGTCAACACGCTGCTCACCCACCAGCATGAGAGAAACACTCCCGTGCAACAAAGCCGGAGTGCAATTAGCAGCACAGCTGGTGTTTATTTGTAAAACCGATTTCATGTTGGGGCTTATAATGTCGGCGGTGAAGAGTATCCCCAGTGGGCACCGCTGTATTTACCACCCTGGTTTCATACCGTTAGCCACGTGCAATGAATCTCGCAGCCTCCCGAGCCTCGCTGATGTTTTTCTTTTGCAAAAAAAAAACCCCGATTAACTCTTATTTCACCAGGTAAGGCCTACTAAGCTATGTAGCCCTTTTTCAGAAGCGACCTGGCGATCACAAATTGTAGCCCAATTAAGTGGCTTTTCGCGTGGAAATTTATAAGCAGCCAAATACTCAATGCATGTTTATAAATGTGGGGCGGGGGGGGGGGGAAACGAACACGCCTGGAGGAAAATCCACGCCAAATACACATCGGGCCATCAGTGCCGGGATCGAACCCATGAGCACCTGCATGCCGGACGAGGGTGATAACATTGCGCCACCGTTCCCTGTCCGTCGCAGGCAAGCGGCCGCACCAGTGTGAGGTGTGCAACAAGGCGTTCAAGCACAAGCACCACCTGATCGAGCACTCGCGGCTGCACTCGGGTGAGAAGCCGTACCGCTGCGACCGCTGCGGCAAGCGCTTCTCGCACTCGGGCTCCTACTCGCAGCACATGAACCACCGCTACTCCTACTGCCGGCGCGGCGACCCCGGCGAGCGCAGCGGGGAGCCGGGCGCGCCGGGGGGGCGGCAAGGCTTGTTGGGAGCGGATTTGGGGGCCCTGGGAGCGGAGTTCGGAGCGACGGAGTCGCAGGAAAGCGCCGAAGAGCTCAACGAGGGGGAGGGCGGATGCGGGGCGGAGGGTTGTGCCGTCGCAGAGGACCGCAATGATGAGGCAGAGTCGGAGGATGCGCGCGGCGCGGGGGCTGTGGGAAACGAAGGGAGAGATTCCGCCGTTGAATTGAACGGTGCTGACGGAGATGATACTGTGATGGAAGCTCCGCCGGATGAAGACCAAGAGACAAAATCCGGAACTGATGGGGCAAATGACAACGATGCTTTGACTTGTGATAACTAACCGGTCTGCCTCTGACTTTCTGAGAACAAATGTGTTGTGTTGCAACTAGACCACTGCTGTGCCTGAAATATGTTTTCTGGATACAGAATGTGTAAATTATGTAGGAACGGTTTTTTGAACAAAGGTATTTCTGGACTAACTCGAATGCTGTTGGAATTAGTGGGTACTACAGGCGAGGTGTTTTTCGTATTAAAATGATTGTAAAGAGGTGGAAAATGGAGTTAGAAATGGGCATGTTAAATGTGGATAGATAATGCTATGATTAGGAACATCTGTAGTTGGGAGATACAAGAACGATCTGGAAAAAGCCTTTTATATGCATACTTAAAAAAAAAAGTTTTCTACCAGTGCCATCTTTTACAAAAGCAGTGTTACTCAATGTTTAAAATGTTAAAGCTTTGTTTTTGTTAGTCTCGAAAAGATAAAAGTATTCTGCTAAACATTCACACAGTATTATTTGACATAGCATGCAGCTTGTGTAGTTTACACTGTTTGTGCAATTCCTCCTCGGTTTTTGTTATTGTTGTTGTCGTCACGTGGTGCTGCCATGTGCACCGTCCTCTCTCTTAAGCTGTGGTGACCGTTAATTTATGTTTCGTTGTTTTAATGTTTGTTTGTTTGTTTACACGTTGCCATCTCTGTAATTTATTCATTCCGTTTTAGATGCAAGTAGAATGTTGTTGTTGTTTATAATTGCCAGCCAGAACATGATTCAGTATTAATACTCTTTGAGCAAGATATTTGTAACATTTTCACAAATCGTCCAGACCACCGGTCTGCGTTGTACCGCGCGTACTATTTTTGCAGTGCATTTTAGCGTTCTCTTTCCAAGTTGCTGTTTGACAAACGTCAGTATTTTTCCTGGATGTACAACCCCGTTTTTAACGAGCTTCCATTTGAATACATTTTGTTTACCGATGCAGCCAAGGCTGCCAAGACTTGAATTTGTACATTAAAACTCAGAAATAAATCTCAGCGTCTTTTTCGTAATGATCGCATTGCTCTGTAATGCGGGCGGGGGGGGGGGGGGGTTGGGGGGCATTACCTCTCCCCCTCTCCCCCCTTCTGCCCGCCACCCTCCCTCCCTGCCCACCCCCCCACCCCCCCCGCCTGTTTCAGACCCATTGTGCTGCCCCAGTGAGTGGTCCTGGGCCTTGTCCCCTGCTTTGTCTCGAGCTGCTCGGCTGCACAAATCCAAAGCGACGTGTCCACGAGGCCAGCCGCGTGTTCCCACACGGTGGTGGTGCCGGGCGCAGGTACAGCTCGACGCGGTAGGGGGCCACGGGTGGTGTACACCTTCCGCATGCACGATCCTCTCTTAGGACAAGAGACGCACACTTCCATTTCTTGCGTATAACCAGAGTTCGAAGTTAACTTTCTCCCATTAAGTCAACAGAAGCATGTGTGTTGTCCCCCCCCCCCCGCACCTCCGATTGTAGCACGGTCTGCTACGTGCGGTGCGAAAGAGGTTCAACACACATCACGCGTGAATGCATTTATAATTCAAATGCGAAAAAAAATTACGTGGGCGTATTTCAAGTGAAATAAAATTCCAAATATAGCGGTGGTGGCGATGGCGACTTCGCATGACAGAAGAGCAATTGGGCGAGAGTTCCGTCGGCTGCGAGGCTTTGAATCGCGGGAGAAACGCGAGGCAGTGGCGAACGGGCGAGGCACAGGGAAGAAGCTCGCGATCAAAAACACCCCACGTGCAGCCACCATCACGCACCGTGATTTACGGGCCGCATGGTGGCACTTTTTTTCTTTTGCGCCATTGCGTCCACTGTAACTCAACCGGGCCCCTTTCACCCCAAGCGCCGTATACTTTCCTTCCCGCACTGCCGATGCGAAGGTATCGCAGGCAATTCCTGTCAAAAGGCGCGACTTTTTTTTATTTAAGTTGGCGAAAGGCCATCACTCACATCGGGGGACCAACAGTGTCCCTTCGGTGGGCAAGTGGGTGAATGAGGGGCTGAAGCAGTGAATAGGAACAATGGAATGAATAAGCGAGTGAGTGAATGAGAGTGATTTCATGATTTGTGACTTGGCATCTTGCTCACCCATCATTGTGTCCGATTAACCCACAGAGGCGCTACCTTCCAAGGAGAGGTTAAGGGAAAGTCAGTGATGGGGGGGGGGGGGGTAAAGGAGAGCAAATACTGGAAAGAGAGGATAAGGGAGAGTGAAGAATGGGAATAGAGATTAAGGGAGAGCAGATCCTGGGGGAGGTGGGTTTACAGGAGAGTGGTAACCAGAGAGATGTTACGGAAGAGCAAGAAATTGGTCGAGAGGAGGAGAGTGCTCACGGCGGCCAGGGAGAGAGAAAGAGAGAGTTCAGGGGAGGACAGCTTTGAGTGCTTTTTCCCTGATCCGTGAACGGCAGGAGGGTCTGTGAGCCACATGGAGCGCCGCGGAGAGATTCCTGGGATGACGGCTGGTCCCGAAAGGAGCGTGGACGGCCCTCGCCCGAACCGTGGCACGGGGCAGAGCCCTCGACGAACACAGCCACCCCCCCTCGAACCACTGCACGGACCTACCTCGTTCTCTTCACACCATCCCCGAGTGTTGATTGTCAACCCTCACCTGCCGTGTGCTCACCGGCTCGGCGTGCCGTCGTTGAAGCGTCGTGGTTGAAGTGACGTTGACTGGGGGCCGTGGGGTTACTCACAGCGCGTCTCTGTAAGTCAGCCCACGTTCAAAGCGCGTGTGATTTTTACACTCAAATGAGCGTGGGGCAGTGCCCATCTAATAATAATAATTCCAACAAATAAATAATTCGCCTGCGGACCTGTGAGTCAGTGGTGGGACATGTGCACATTGCCACAGCAGGGTGAGTGTGTTGTATAGGCCACAGTGTTCTTCATCGCAAGGCCCGCAAGGCCACCAACGGCCCGTGGTGGCCTTTAGAGCGGCTCCCGACATCACGCAAATGTGAAAACACCCCCCCCCATCATGCTACTGTCGAAACCGCAATGGTTTCACACGTGTGTCGGCTCTCACACTGATAATGCCTTATCGACGAAAGTGGCCCCCCTCTGAAAATGAGTGAAAAACACCGGTATAGGACAACCTCTGTTTGCTTCGCACAAAGTAGTACTCGCTTTATTGACCCCCGAGAGATGATTTTTTTAATTACAAGTTTTTTTTATGGGCAATCTGTGCACTAGCCACCGGCGCTCTAACCGATTCTACGACCTGAACTTCCTTCAAACGGTCAAACAAGGTTTCCCACCCAATGTGTTGACATCACTGAGCGAGTGGTGGACATCGCAGAATCCCACGGCAGGGGGTAAATCTTCCTCAGGTACAACCACTGCTGACTTCACCACCAAAAAAAAATGGTTCCCGATGTATTGACCCTGTAAAGCCGAGTCATTCTCTGACCAAGATCTGGATTCGCAGCCTCACGATCGCCAGCTGCTGCACTTTGCCACAGTGCGCCAGCTGATAAACTACCCAATGGAAATTATTGATCGGACTAAACATCATTTGATCCACCATAGGAATGTGGAATTTCCACTCCTGCCTCTGAGGATGAGCACCAATATATAAAGTGTTCCCTTGCAAGCGTTATATGTGTTGCTCAATCAGTGCTCTGTGAATAAATATCGTGCACAGCTGAACTTGGCGTTGTGTGAATTTAAGTTGATTGCACAATGCAGACGTGGTCCTCTGGTGACCTGTGGGAAGTGGATGCTGGAACTAAATCCTGTACCAAACAAAGACGGTCGCCGCATCGCGCCCTTTCAGATGCTCTTCTTGCGGCCGTCTGGAACGCTCTTCCTTCCGACATTCGGAAGCCGCCGGAAATATGCACTTTTAAATCGTCTAGATTGAAACACGAATTTCTTTAGAAATGCTTTCTGTGCTTCAGTTTGTTGCCCTTCCCCCGCACCTCCGATGAACGACGGTGGGCCAGGTACGGTGTGTGAAAGAAGTTCAACGCACACACAATACTGTCGTGTCCGCAGGACTGCGGCATGCCTGCCCGCGGGAAGTAATTCACTTGGCTGGCGCTGTTGACTGTTCAAAGTTTATAGCGGTGCGCCGGAGCGGTTTTGATGAACGGCGATTTTGTAAGTTCATGCCTGCCAAGGATATACGTGACTCGGCAGCGGATCGATTTGTAATAATGCGCCCCTTCTCAGAAAAGCAATGCTCAGGTTGTACATCCGTGCCTGCCCGACATGCGTGGGATGACGACAAACACGAGTTTTTATATATTTTATTCACAACGGCATTGCCCGGGTCGGCTCTGTTTACATAACACGTGCCGTGCGATGTTCACCCACCGCGTGTAACTTTATCCAACGGGCAAAGGAAGTTCAAGAAAAAAATATCAGAAGCCAGCCAAACATGCCCCTTCTCTCTCTCTCTCTGGCCATTTGCTTCCCATGCCCGGCCGCTGTGGTGGCAGGGAGACTTCCAGGGGGGTGGTTGTGGGTGGTGGCGACCTCACACTTCAAGCAGTGATCGCTGCGAGCGATTGCAGGACGAGGCGAGCGAGGCGAGGGGAGGGTGGCTGAGCGAGAGTTGGTCTTCTTACATTCCAAATACACTCGAGCACCTGCTCTCTGCGCCCCCCCAGATCCCTGGGCCAGTCGGCAGACAGCTTGGTCATCTGCTATGCCACCCGGGAGCTATGGAGATGACCCGGGGTTACCCGAGGGGGGGGGGGCGTGCTTTGGAGCTGTTAATCTGACTTTCCACTGTCTGATCCCGAGCCACGGCAAAATGCGGACCTGGGAAAGGTTAATCCCCACCGCACGCTTTTCTTCTCGGAATTCGCTGTTGCCACACAAACAAAGGGGAGCGAATGTGCGCGCGTGTGAAGACATTGGAGCGGTAGGCGTAGCCGGTTCGCGCGCTGCGCTACGAACCCCGCGAACCCGGGTTCGTATTCCCTCTCACGGTGAACAGCAGTGACGAATATCGGAACCGGTCCTGGTCTTCCCCTAGGTCGACTCAGCCTCAAATTACTACACGGTACTGGCGTGTAAACATCGCCACTGGGGAGACAAAGGCGGTCGGGCGCAGGGCTGGTCACCCACCCCCTCCTGTGCCGTGCCGGCCTTCATAGGTGCTACTAGCTAACAGCACTTGCCCCAACAGTCTGTGAAGGCTACGCGGGGGATCTTTGTCTTTTTTTTGCGTGAAGAAATGGAAAGGAGGACACATCCCTTCAATTGTATGCCCATTTTATACGCACTGTGGCGATGCGCGTGGTTCTTATTCCTTACCTCTCACGTAGGTCATCAAATTGAAATGAGTAATATATATTTTTTGGCTTCTCATCAGAATTGTTAAATCCCGATGCAACCCCATTCGTGCGAGGTTATCCCCGTACCACAGTGAGCTCAACCTCGGCACAGGACCTCTGAATGGTAATTCGCAGAGCTCTGCACAAAGCTAATGCCTTATTGTACATCTTCCATGGACCATTACTTTCGAAAGAATTTAAGTTACGAAATGGCAATCGTTGACTGCCCCGACACTTCGTCATTACTGCAGCGGACTGGAAGCAAAATGCCATTTTTTGTCACAGTGCCTTTGTTGCCTCATTTATTGCAATTGCATTTCCATTAACCTAATTCTTTTTAATATTTCTGTCTAATGGAGTGTGCAGTCTGCTTTATTAAGCTGTCGGTGGAATGAGCCAGGAAACCAGGAGCCACGCTGATAGATAGGGGTCCGATCAAGTACGACGTGGTGTCATTATTCCGCACGCTCCCTTGATCTTCCCTACCGGACGTTATATATTTATTAACGAGCGCGTTATTTATTTATTTGTATCCCCTTTCCTCCCATTTCTTTTCAAAAGTTCTTTAAGAAATACTGGGGGGGTGGGGAAGAAGAAAAAAACACAGAGCCTTGTGGGTAACTTCGGGTTAATGAATGGTAGAGAGGACATTGTTGTGTTTCGACAATGACTGTCACCGAAAGGATTTAAAAGGTTAGAGGTTGCATAATTTAAGGATTCTCAGTGTCAC